CAGGGCGCCATTTTTTTCTCCTGTACATAAACCACTTGTCTGTCCCCACCAACTTTATTGCCCGTAAGTATGCCGACGATGTGCTGATTGGGTGCCCCTCCAATACTGATGCTCCTTTCCATCAACTTCAAAGCAGTCTGAATGAAGTTTTTAGTTGGTCTTGACCCCGATCACTGTTGTTTAATGTTTCCAAATGTATCGACGTTTCCTTCAGTCTTAAATCTGGCTCTCGCTATCCAACTACCTTTAATAATTTACTGGATCTGGTAGTTAATAGTCACGGCATTCCCAGAGCTGACTCTGTTAAATATCTCGGAGGTTTTTTATCCCACAACCTCTCTTGGACCTTACATGTAGAGAACGTTTACAACAAGGTTCGTAAACTCTCTTTTTATGCTTTCAGGCTTGAGAAGTTTGCTGTTCCCCCAAACGTAATTTTAAAATTCGTGGTAGCATGCACCCTCCAGTTTTGGCTCTACTGTTCCCCTGTATTTTTTTCCCGGCCTAAAAGAAAAAGATTACACTCCTTGATGTAGCGGCATAACCAGAGAGTTCTGGTTGATGTTATTGTGTGCAAACATGGACGCATGTGAAAGTATAGCTGACCGAATCTTGAATAACGAAGATCACTGCTTACACAAAGAACTTACTAAATTCATGTCAAACCCCCATACCTGCTCTCGTTATAGGCTGCTTCCCGCACATACCGTCGTATACAGAGACAGCATCCTCTCTTTTCTCGCTCGCTTTCTAGTAAATTGGCACCTATTTTAACAGGTTTGGTTGAACACCTCATGAGTTAGTTTATTTATTCATTTTTTTATCCGTCACTATCGTCTTCCTGCGTTCAGTGTTCTCTCGTTTTTTTTAAATATTTTTTAAATTATAATATTCGCACTCGGAGACAATTCACCTCAGCTCCACTGTATTATCGTAAAAAATCGCTGAAAATTCACCCTACGGGTGCATAAAGCTTACTTTGACTTGACTTGACTTGAAGTGACCGAAAGCCACATGAGAACTTAGCTTTATTTGGAAGTTGTTGTTCTTTGTCATGCCCTGTAAAACATGTTTTCATTGATGTAGTTTCCCTCGAAACCGGCTTTGTTCATCGTTCAATTTGTCTCAGTCCAAAGTCTATCCCGTTCGCTGGTTTGGTCATCAAAGCGTAACATCCTTTTTGTCTAAAGAAATCGATCACGAACCATAGTTTTTCGAAACCGATCGATTCTAGATAAATTCTACAAAAGAAGCCTTCAGCATCCCGCCCCCCAAGAACCTAGAATCTGACAAATATCCCCAGTTCTTCATGCCTTTCGCGTAACGCTAAATGATTTTCATGGTAACTTTTATTTAAGCAGTGCTGGGGTATTCAAATATCAGTCCTGAATCTCTCTTCAGTTCTGACATTTAGAAATCGTCATCAATACGTTCATGAAGCTCGTAAGAACTCCATTTTACATTATGTACCACTTTCCAAATATATATCATCTTAGTAATCTGATGAGTTTAGTGACGTTCTAGTCAATTCAAATCCCCCTCAATCGTTTCTGGTCACCACTGGGTAGCTGTAAATCTTTGAATGACAGTAGTGCATTTATACAACGATCCTGGGGGATGAACACTATCCAAGCTGTCCGAATAGCATCTCGAGATGTCTAAATGTTATTTCAAGTAGTCTGAGAATCATTCCCAGTTGTCCAAGTATCATTCCAAATTCCTGATTATCATTTCAGGCTGTCTCGTTGACCTCAGCGGTGATGGTATTCTCATGTATTTTTCAAGCCTCCCAGCCTTTTCTGGATGATTATCATGCAGGTTAGATTACTCAACCCCCCTTCGAAGTGCGAGAGAGAAAGAGATTGTGGGATAGTTCACGATCACACGCCCTAATTCCCATGACATAAGTGTTTACCTTGTCTGCTTTGAACAAGTCATCCTTTTCGTTGTTGTTTCCCTTTTTACATGCGGCGTCGCTTTTTTCCGTTCGACCACCTATTCAATACTGGACAGCATTGCAAATTTCATCAAGATTGTATCTGTTATTCTCATGAACCGGTGGCCACCGTGCTTGATCGCATGTTCCGATTGAAAGTACGTTTAAGCTCATTCCCATAATTGAAATGGATTTTCGAATGCTTATCGGTTATCATTTTTCTTTGACTAATTTGTTTTTCTTTGTCCAGTATTATATGGGCTTTTACGGCAAAATCATTTTCTGATCGATTAAAATGATGGCATTTGTCAATAGTCTTTGTCGAAGGGAGAAACGTTCCGTAGTTGCTATCATTTCCGATGAATGACTGTGTGTGATATTCTATTCTATGAACCCCAAACAGCTGAGTGTCTGCTCTTGTTCCCGAGTGGCAGTCGACATATGTAGTGACGAATTTTAGATAACCCCAATTACTGGTTCAAGAAATACGAAACGAAACGTCAGCTGCTTATCATTATCGGTGATTCAATTGTTGCTATTATAATCTGTTAATCATCCTACTGGTTTGCTTGCACGATGTTCCGGCAACTGAATAAGTAAGATGATACGATAGAATTTAAGTTAAATATAGGTATCGAATCCCCCTTTCCCGTTTCTCCGCAAGCGTTCGTTTCTGCATTCTTCGACGAAACCTAATCAGATCGGAAAGACCAAATACACGATATGTGACTTAATTTTAAAACCAATATAGTCTGTTTTTTATTACACATACATACGGTAAAAGGGGTAAGCCCCATAATCCAAGGATTTACTGTAAATGGTATAGTAAAGGGAACATTCAGGTTGCCCCTGGTTTGCTCGTTCTGCGTTTAACGATCTAAGTTGGACGGTGGTGTTGGCGCAGTCACTTTGTGACCATGGGATTCCCCCCCCCATCTGTTGTTCAACATACCAAGGTGGGTCATAAGAAACCGAAAAAGGATGTGCTTTACAGGAGGCATTTCGTATCGTTTGTGAGTGAGAGGATGAAATAGGCAGATGAGAAAGAGGTTTTTCCAAATGGGTACCTGAGACTTTTGGGTACAACATCACTGTTGCTCACACGGACAAAGGGGTTTTTCCTTTGGAACTCTTGACTCAAAAATGTAAGCTACTCGGCGACGGGGCGTAGATCCAGCGCGGGAGCGTGACGGAAGCACCCTTATGGTAGCTTCTAGATATCTTTCCTGGAAAGATTTTGGGTTTCGGTTCAGTTTGTTATTCACTGATGCCTTGGTTGGCTGCTATTCGAACTCGACCCGTAGTTTATTGGGTCGAACGAGACAGACGGCACATGGACGGTACTGCACTTTAATTACTGGAGGCTGTTTAGCTGCGACGGACGAAAGCTGTCCACTGAAGTGCGAAAATTTCCCTTACTGTCGNGTCGGGATCAAGACTCCGATTCTCTCTCCTATATCCATCTAGCGGACTTCTTTTGGCTGCGACGAATAAACATCGACGCTTCATCCGGTAGTTGTCAACCCGTACTGCAACATCCAGACGTACAGCGCAAAGTCAGGTGCTAACCGGGAACCAGTTGGGAAGCGAGCACTCAGCCTTGACACTTAGCGTGATCCCGACACCAGCAACCGCGAGCTTCGGATGGCGAATCGCTCGCTTCACGGAGAATGAAGCTAGAGGATAAGTTCGGATCTGGAGATCGCAAGGAGATGATTGAAATAGGGTCTTGTGTGCATGTTTCGGAGACACAGCATACATCTAAATTTAGTTTAAAGGGTTCTAGCTAAGGCAGCTTGTTGACCAATCTGATAGATTGTGCGGACACGGAATGCGGTTAAGTGAAAAGGGGATTTTGGTTTCAAAAATCTGATATCTTCTGGTTGCTTAACGTTACTAGTTAAACGTTGTGTGATAACCCATGGGTGACGCAAACAGGATGCATCTGAGATTTGGGATGGAGAAGAGGAATTAGACGGATGGGTGTGGGAATGTATGCAGGAGAACAAAATTGGCTTCAGGGTAAAGTATAACAAAAGGTTAGTGGACTGGAAAAATTGATGTAAATATGCAATATTATTGTTCCAGCCGCGAATATCAGTGCGTGGGATCGTCGAGCAAGAGTGTGCATGTGTAGTATTCCTAGTGAGATGAGAAGTGACCGGCAAACGGGCCGTCGGATGTTATCACTGACTGGGGCGACCACAGAACCGTATTCCATCACCTGCTGATTACAGCAGGAAACGCGATGAAAAACGTGGTGACAAAGCATGGAGCCTCCATTATGTTGTACTTCTATGTCGAACGTTTCTCAAAACCAGAAAGGTTTGTCAATTCGCTAATTGAATGTAACGACTGACGGAACGCCGACGATTGGGATTCATCGTCATACTCGAGCATCCCACCTGCGTCCGGTGGCCGTCGTTCACTTTGTTTACATACCTCAACTTACTTCGAATGGTGTCTGCCCGATGCCATGCAGAAAACCAACAGACTTCGCGGACAAAATAACTATGTGCCATCACACGGGATTCAGTTGGTATGGAGTCGCCAATCTATGCCAGTTGGAGAAACTCCAAACGCTTTAGTCGGCAATGTAATAAACTATATGGATATGACAACCCAAGTTTTCTTCCTCCAAAAGTAAGGATGGAATAATACAGATTAATTCCTTTGATAACACATACTTCATATCGAAGTTTGAAGAAGGTCAGAACATCGAAATGAATGTTAAAAAGAGCGTTCGTTGAACTACGAAAAAGTCACTGCTCTCACCGCTTAGGAAAGAAGAAGGGTTACGGTGTAAGTTGTAACTTCTAATCCCGTCATCACCATATACTTTATTCGTTTCTGTGATTCAGCAGGTACCCTTATGTTAAATACTGACCTCTTCCTAAAAATTGACAAAAAGAGAGTTTCTATCAATGCTCCGGAACAGAATATTGGTTCCATACAATTTTAAATAGTAAATACAGAACTAGAGCATAGAGGGGGATTCTGTTTCATCACCCCGCTTTCCATCCCATTTTCCTACTCTTATTAGCGCTGACAATACAGCTTCGTTCTATAACTTGTTATGTCGTACCGTACTATGTATTTGTATAACTTTTGCAAGCTGAGATATGCTTATATTTCAGTTAAAAATTGTACATTGGTCGTCACACCGGAGAAAATATGGAAGTATAATTAAATTCAATAGAGTGCCGTGTAAAGAAATGTCTCTAAAGTTTGATTCATTCAATTAAAGGTTGACCTAATACATTTATAACTCCTTCCTTGTTGGTTAAGATGCGAGCCAGATACAGTACAGTACAGTGGAGTTTTTGTAAATGTTTTTTCGGGATGGTAGGCACCGATTAGAGAAACTAGTGATCGAGTGGGAGCGACAAGAAGATAAGTCAAAATGCAAAGGATGAGTGGGGTCGTTTAGAATATTATTGGCAAAGGCCATATAAGACTTCATATGACCATTAATAAGTGAATAATGACTCGGCAGAAATTAGGGATTCACGGCTTGTTGTCATCAATTCACGACTGATAATTTTAAAATCTTTTTTTAATAGACCGGGAAAGACTACGGGGGAGCAATAGAGTAAAATAGGGAGAACGCATTGATTAACAAAAGAGAACGAAACTCTTTGGGGAGTGCCAAGTAATCCTAGCTTCTGAAGCTGAAACGAGAAGCGCCGAAGTTTTCTCATACAGTTCTGAATGTCTGTCAACCACCGAAGATTATTATTGATAGTACCACCGAGATATTTGATTGAGAACACTCCAGATAATGGGTTACAAATAGGGGTTACAGAGTCCAACGGGAATGTAAAGCGGGAAGAACTAAAAATGCACTCTAAGCACTTAGATCTGTTTAGATTAAGACCAGAATGGTTTGAAAACTGTCCGATTCGGGACAGATTTTCAGTGAAGGAGGAAAATTCCGAAGAAGAAGCGGTTTGACATAAACCGACATATTCAGCATACTTCCGGATATGAGCAGAGTGTGGAACTGAAAGATCACTAAGGAAAGCAGGGAAAAGATGCGGTCTGTCTGATCAGGTGTAATTTTGTTGGGGAATACGGAAATGAAAATTTGCGGGAAAATGACGTTGGCCCATATTTTTGTCGGGCACTGTACTTAGAGCCTGTGAAATCTGAGCAGTGCGGGGAACAACTGCTTACACGACACTTGGCATTGCAACTCGTGCGCACTCGGTGACCCTTACAAGAGGGTGTGGTCCAGACTCTCGAACAAGCAAACTTCTGAGTTCTGAGATACGATCCGAACTTGAACCAATGTGTGGCTGTGGTCTAGTGGTGTTATTCAGCGTCCAACCATGATGGATGTTATGTGTCCGAACCCCACCATCGTCGTTTATTCTTCCTGTATCTAACATAAAACAGCATTTTTCCCCCTTCTTCTTTCCCGTAAGTTTTTGTTTCCAAAATACTATGTTCCATAAAAACCAAATGCAAATGAAAAGAAATCATGGGCTGATTCTTTTATCATGATTTGCTCGGTACATAGTCTGCACTCCAACAAGTGTAAAATATACCATAATAATAACAATAATATTAAAACAACAATTCATACCGTTGATTGTACTCAACAAGGTTTCAGTGCTTTTACCTCTACTTTTTTATCTTTACTAGTCTCGGACAAAATTTCGCTCTCCTTTTATGCTAGCATCATCCTTTATGCTGTCTGGATTGTGCATGCTCAGTGTGCACAGGTTTTAGATTAGTGAAACTGAATACCAATCTTCTGAGAGTTGCTCTAGAATACAGCAGTACATTTTGGTGGCAGCATCTATTCGATCGGTCGTCCTGACTCATTCATTACTAATTATGCGTGTCAGAGGATATGTATCTTGTAGGTTGGCTGCACAAGCCCAAGTATTCGGAGAAAAAAATTTCTACTAGGTTACTAGCTACCTACTTGTTCCTTGTCACAGGTGGTAGCTGAGGGTGATCGACGTTAATTTATAATATTAGCTTCCATTCGTATGTGCACACCCCTTTTCTAGCTCAGACTCTGAATCGTACGGCAAACTGAGATTATGTACCACCTGCACTTCTGGTTGAGGGGTTAACATTTGAACATTTTCGCATACTGCGCTTTGTATCCTTCGACAGAACCAACTGATGATGAATTCGTACAACACTTTTCTTTGTGATTGATACGGACTGGGATCTGTTCATCTCTTTTGGCCGAGTAGAATTGCTTTTTCCCACACTGCCGAATTAAAGTCCTCGGCATAGAGAATCGTCAAGATCGGATGTCAAACTGAAACTCAGTGAAGGCTATTAGACCAAGTCCGCACACCTGGAGGGCGGAGAGGGGCGTTTTTTTTCGACGCGTAGACTGACGGACTGCTCAGTCGGAATGGTTTTGCACACATGAATCGGAATGGGGAGTGTAGTTATTTTGTTCTTTGCCCTTCGTGGATTCAAACGGAAGCATTCATAATAGCGGAAGTCGTTGGAAAAAATTGTTTGTCGAAAATCTTTTAACTTGGGTACTCATTCGATGCTTCACGTATTTCATAAAGCACTTTTCATAGCACTTGATGACTAAAATTTTATAAACTTGTCTGATAGCCCACAGTTACTTTTGAATTTTGTTTGACAATCAACTTTGTTGAGCCAATCGAAGTTTTAGTTCTAATAAGCCCGTCGAAATGTTTGAGTGTAGCATGTCGACAGCTGCGTCTATCGCGTCCATTCAGTGCAACCTTGACTACTATACTAATTGTTGTATTCTTTCTTTTTACTTAGGTCACTTGCCTCGTATTGTTCGATGTCTCTGCTCATTCCTCATGGGCATCACCACATCTAGTCGGAATGGTTACGGCTAAAGATTTATTACAAGCCATCGTGACCACTGAACCACACAACCGTCACCGCCATCGTTCGCACCTGTACACTCGCCAGCACTGCCAACACAATGCGACTCCTCAGTCTGTTGATGCACAATCAACTCAGTCCACGGAACCCATGCTAGTGGACGAAGTGAACGATGATGATGTATCAAATGACGAGGTCAGAGGTGACACCGATCCTTCGGATGTGTCCGACCCGTGTGCTCATGCCCTGGGCCTGACGCACAGCCAGCACGTCCGATTGCAACAAACACACTCTAATTCGTTGCTGGGTCTTTCACATCCCAATTCATCCTCCCATTCCTCCTCCTCCCTATCATCCGGGAGCACATTCTCAGCCGGATGTAGTTCAGCGTCTGAGTTTGAGGAGTGTGAGGAAGATCGAAATCCGGAACAAGATGCGGGTGAACCCAATCTGAACGACACCAGACATTTGAGCTTGGATAAAAACATGTCCGGTTCGGAGGATCCTGCCCGATCGAGCACCCATTCTCATGCTCAACCGCATCAATATCATCATCGTGTCTCGTCTGCCTCATCGGACTGTTGTTCATGTGCGTGTCATCAATCTGGTTCCGCACCGATAGCCCAGCTTCGACCAACAAACCACTGGGATGGAACCGGCACTGTACCCTACTCGATACAATCACATCCCGTGTGAGTCTTTTGTTCTTCTCTCCTTCAAACACATTGAATTCCTAAGATCATCGGTCCCGTTTGCTTATCATTTCGGCTAACACCAACGATCATTTTCCTTAGACCTATAGATATTTGGCAGCCCCAAGACTGATTGGTTTGATATTTCCCCTCACGTTACAATATAGAAAGAATGAAGTTTGTAGTCATGACGGATTGCTAACAGTAGCTTGATAACATTTACAAATTCGTCTGTTTTCACTCGTAGGATCTGACATTTGGAGAGGTGCAATGAGTTCATTAAAATCAGCCTGCTGTTTTGGATGTGTTTTCCCTCGTCGATTAATTATTCCGGTTGAAATACACTCTGCTGTTTGACCTTGTCTACTCAAATGTGATATCAGTGGACGTAGTTCACAGGACTGTTTCGCTGGGTTCGATACTGTTCTGTATGCTGTCACCATCTGAATACATTGGAATGACTGTTAGCATAATCTGCAGGAATATCGTTAACGAAACCTAATTATATATCGATTCCCCCATCGAAGATTTCGCATGTACTTCTAATGCGGTTGTTTCGGGAACGATCCACATTCTTCCCGAACTCACCTCAAGCAAAGTGCCTGTCCCGTTTATCGATCAGTCTGTCATTGTTTCCTAACGTTTTTAGCCTACCCGACTTTTAACTCTCCGTCACTTGATGTAATGTCATCAAACATCTGATCACGAATATCTTGTCAGGTAAGAACTTCACAATGCAACTTGGCCTCCATTTATGATCTGACACCATGATACTGTTTCATTCACCCAGATCGTACTTTCTGTTTGATCCTCTCGCTGTCTACCATAATCGAATGGAGATTGATCGCTGATTGGTGTGTCTATGGAGTGCAACGCGCATGCACCCAACAATTTTCAGATAATGTGTTAAGATGCCACAGCGTGCTGAACAAGCGTTCTTTGAGTCAATATCCGTTTCTGCGTGTACAGTACACAACAGGTGCTGTATTTTATCCTCAATCCGTCGAATCAAGCTCGATTACGGTATTCCCGTTTTTTGACCTTGATCTCCTCTTTTGTCGCTCCTTATCGCTGAGTTTCCAAGTTGTCCTGTTCCCTACGCTGCACAGTCTCCTTCATCCTTTCCCCACCTCTCTTCTCACGCGCATGCTCACCCACATGGCTAGACTGCTCGCAATCACCTTGACAATGCAATGTGGATTGGTCTGTTGTCATAATTCAATCAATCTCCATGTGACCACATGTCCTTCCCGTGATATGAAAACAGACATGAGGTTTTATTCCCTGGGCATTTTGCAATATATCGTTTCCTTTATGGTCTTAGTAGCCGGCTTTTGTCCATTCTGTCGATGTACCCTGGATAAAGCAGCTGTTCTGGGACATGTCTACATTAGCTTGTTTCCACTGCACTGTGCATGTTGAAATTAGCTGTCCAAGGAAACTGTCCGTGTAACAAACTAAGAGCAGAACGATAGAACTAACCTCGGGGTTTTTATACTGAAAGCTTTAGAATTCCCCATTTCCGCCTCATTGGAACATCCTACCCCTGAGCTGTAAGTGACGAGTCGTGTTCCCGTTGTATCAAGCCGTTTCTACGGATGTAGTTCACTCATCTTTCCACTAAACCGATGCATGGTATCCACTGAAAAAGAAAACAGAGGTATGTTACCGGTAAAAACAGCAGTTAACCACAGTTCATTTAATCATAGTTAATGTGGATCTGGATGATGCAGCTGTTTCGCTCATTAGTATGTTCGTATTTAGTGTCCCATCCCAGAGCGAATTGCAGTCCACGGTTTAGTATTCGATGATATTAGCTCAGCCCTGCATAACTTGCATCAATCTATATTGCTTAGCTCCTTTGGGAGCTTTTCATTATTGTTATTATTATTATCAT